TGGACCTCCCAATCACTCTGCGGCCGCCAGCTCCAACCCCCGCTGTTCTGGCGTGTGCATCCACCTTCGACTTCAACTGCTTCCCCTCGGAGTTTGTCGAACCCTGGCAAGTGTCTGCTGCCCCCCTCGGTCGGGCCCCCTCCCTCTTGCCCCCCCCGGGGCCCGAGGAATGTGAGGGTCTCTGCGCTTTGACCGCGCTGGCCCTGGAGGTGGTCTGATGGGCTGCCGGCTGCAAGGGTCCTACGCTACCGCCCGCTCCCGCCGCCGTAGGTCGACTCCGTGGTCTCCTCGCCTCTCGCGACATCGCATCCGAGTGGATTGGTTCGGGTCTGTTGAGAGTTACGACATGTACTGTCTGTTCGGCAAGGTGCGGTCGTGTACTACTTGGTCTGAGCCTGAGCTGCGGCTTGGCCCTCTGTTCTCCGGTCTTGTCTTCCTTTCTGCCGGCTTGCTTCGTTGCCGCTGCCGCTTCTTCGTCCTCGTTCGCCCCTCGCTTTCGTCCGCTCCTGTCTCTGCTTTGGTAGCTTTCGCCGCCGCCGTGGCCCTTTCCGCGCCTCGCTAGCGACAGCAGGGCATGCGCTTCTCTTTCGACTTTCGGGCACCGCGCGGGTGCCCGCCTACGGTCGCGATCAGAAAAGTATCCCCGCCAGCCTGGCCGCCGGGCGTTCTTGGCAGTTTTCCCAGCCTGCCTTCAGCCCCCGGCGCCCCTCAGATTCCTTCGGCGGCAGCCTCGGCAGCCGTGAGTGCGTCCGCTGGGCAATCAGGGTTCGCCCGTAGCCTGGTTTGACCTCTGACGCCGCGTGCGCCCTCGCATGCGGCTGCGACGGAAAATGTATCCCCGCCAGCCCATCCAGAAACGATGCCCATGCGAGCTGCCTCTCAGAGTCTCCTCGGATGTCTCTTGGAAGATTTCTTGAAGCCCCCCGGAGCGTCTTGGGGGCCTCTTAGCGGCCCCGGCGCGACGCCGTCCCGAGCGACGCAGTCAACCCGACTTCCGAGGGTCCGCTCGGCACCCGTGGTGTCGAAGGTCCCACGGATGCGGCGCGGAGGGATTTTGCTGGGCCGGCCCGCCGGGCTGGCCCAGCCGACCTGCCCCGGCTTTATAGTTTGGGCAGCGGGGTCAAGACGCCCCGCCCGGGTCCGGCAGCGGGGTCGGGGCGCGTCGCAGGCGCAGCGGGACTTCGGCTTCGACGTCGCCCGCGTCGTCGGTTTCAAGGGTGCAGTCGAGTCGATGTCCAGCGGCGTCTCCCGCGCCGGGTACGGCGCGTTGTGGGCCGTGCGACGCGAACAGGGGCGAGGTCCACTTCGCCCTCGACCCCCTACCTCCTTGGCGTTCACGGGTCGAGGATCTGGCGCATGAGTAGTGGTCTGCGGCCAGAACGGCCGCCCGTGCTACGGCCAGCAGTGCGACAAGTTGTTGACACCATCGCGCTGTTCTCCAGCATGCATCGGGCTTGCTGCGGGCTTTTGTCCCGGGGGGCCAGCGCGGCAAACTTGTTGTTCGCGATGCTGAAGTGAGCACCCAGTGACAACCAGCTGTGCAGGTGCAGGGCAGGCTGGAGGAGCGCATCGACGACTGGGCGACCGCGGACCGACGTGTGTATTTTGCCCTGATGCGCCGCGAGGTCTTACGTCTTGCACCCTGTTGCAGTTGTGCCTGAACGAGCATGGGCACGCCGACGAGGGCGCGCTCTCGACGAGGCGCAGCAGCAGCAGCTTCAGCATCGGACTCGAACGCCTCTTCCTGTCCGATGGCGACTGGCAGGCGCGACGTCGAGCAGCGCCCTCGGGGCCAGGCGCCGCGCTCAGAACCGCGGCGACAAGCGGCGCATTCAGGGCGAGGAGCGCGACCATGCGAGTGTAATTACGTTTGGGCTGTAAGGTATTTCTATTCCGCGTCGCCCACCAGGCGCGCAGGAGGTGTCTGGTGACTGCGTCGCCAGCGCCCGCCCCGCGGCGGAGCGGATGCGTCGGCGAGGAAGGGGCAGGGGGGCCTCGCCCGAGCCTCTGAAGCCAACTGTCAAGGACCATCGCGACGACTTCGGATCCGACCTTGTCGGCGCCCCAGCTGTCGGCGAGCCGGGTCGCGCCGGCGAGTGCGACGAGGGCGAATTTCATGGCGGCGTCACCTCGGGTTTGCCTACATGGTGGTTCCAGGGGTCGTCGGCCCCGGCGTCAAATCGCCATCGGACGAGTGCTCGAACGACATCGCAGTGCACCGAGTTCGACTCTATTCACCACCTCGTTACTTGCCTCGCCTCGCACGAGTGCGGCGTCGGCATCATTGAGGTTTGCGGTGTGTGTGGGGGGCTCGGACAAGCAGACTTGCTGTCCGACGCCGCCTCAGAGTTGGTGAAATCCTTGACTTGGTCACCAGCTGCGGCCCCAACGACGAGGGCCAGCAACGAGCCGCGGGGAGGTGCGCGCGACAAAACCAGCCCCCACTGTGGAGCATGGTTCCCGCTTGCCGGCCATTCGGTCGTTGGGCGACGTTTCGTAGCGTGCAGAACCACCGCGCGGGGCTGCGCTCCCACGAGGACGCGGCCCTGCGCGGCCGATTCTGCCGCCGCGTAGCACGCTGGGCGGCTGCCGCGTCAACGAGCAGCCGAGCCCGTCGTGGCTGTGCGACGAGCCGCCGTGGCCAGACGTGTTTGGTGCACCTGGCGTGGACGCGGTCGTCTGCGACCAGTGCAATCTCGGGCTTCGTGATCGTCGCGGAGGTATTCGGAGGAGAACCGCAGGCCTGGTCACCAACGCCCCGGAGATCATCGAGCAGTTCGCCCACTTCATGTCTCCGACCGAGCGCGAGCACGTTCGCGCCGATGACCGCGACGGCTTCGACGCCCAGATTTGGCTATGGAAGGTGGCCGAACTACTCGTCCAAGGTATTGTGAGCTTACGTCGCCGCCTCAGACGTGCGCGTCTCGCTGTCTATGTTCGTGAATGCGACGACCAAGCGGCGGCGTTCCCACCGGCGGCCTCCGGAGCCGCCAGGGGCGGGGCCCGGAGTGATGTGGCCGCCGAGCGCGCGCGCTGCGCGCGCAGAGCGTGCAGGCGCAACGCTGTGGGCGGATTTGCCCATGCACTCCAGGGATCCGGCCACGTGCCGATGCCCTCGCAGCAGTCCTATCCACTGGGGGGGCCCCCGCAGCCGCGAGGAGAAGGGGTGCGACCGCCCTGCGCCCGCTCGCAAGTTCAGCGCGCGCAGGTTGGCGGGTGCGCCCGCGATCGCCAGCGCGACCCAGAGGGCCGCGCCACTCCAGCGACCAACAGGTTCAGTTACCTGGCGGCGCCGACATGGAAGCAGCAGACGAGGCTGCTCTACCGCCAGCGCCCGCGGGTACATCCAGAGACAGCTCATCGTCTAGCGCTGGGGCCCAGCGACAGGGGCTGCGCCGAGACGGACGGCGCGCCGAGCCGCCGACGCAGCAGGCGGCAATCCGACTCTTTCCGATTGGATTCGTCTCGACGTCGCCATGTCATTGCGAGGGTTTTGCGGAGGCTCACATCAGACGCGCACGCGAGAACGGCGCAAGCTACACCGCCGTTGGTGGCGCGCCATTGGGTAGGAGATGGCGCGAGCATTGCGCGCAGCCAACATTCCCGAATCTGTCCTCGACCTCATCCCCACAGTGGTCAATACTTGATAAGTGTAGGGAATATCGTGAGGGACAGCCGCCCGCCCATGATGCTATCCTTTCACTCCGCATGTCACCGCGCTTCAGCCAGCGCGCCGAGTGTGATATCCTGTGCGTTGTGGCCCGCATGATCATGTATTCGATATGCTGTGCCTCGCGGTGCAACAGCCAGGACATCGACTCAAATAACGACTCGGCGATGGTTGTTGCCGTCGACCGATCGTGGACCCAGCTGTTCGGAGCGATGTTGATATTCACAATCGACGGTGATGGCGGCATTCTCACACCGTACTTGGCGGAGGAGATGAATGGGCGAGGTCTCCAGGTGGATATCAGGGCTTCGACAACACGCTCGTATCATCGAACGACGCGGGGCTATTCTACGACGTGCATTTTGTGTGGCAGAGCAGCAGCTAGAGCGCGACGGTGTTACGGCCGACTTCGGCTCTATGCTGGCTCGCGCGACCTTCGCGGGCAATGGCCTCGCCTACGTTGGCGGCGCCACACCGTGTAACGTTTGCTCGGGAGGCAGTCGCCCATGCTGCCACCAGTCAGAGCAGGCGAAGAGGGCGAGGCATTTGTTGTCGCGGCGCCAGTGATGGCCCTTCTGCTGGTGGAGAAGGGCAGCCCAGCCGACTGCACTGGCGAATCCGAGAGATCGCATTGCAACGCATGATGGACGTCACGTCCATCTCCCGCGTCAGCCGCGCCCTCCGGACACGCGCCGCGGAATTTGGAGAGGGCCGATTCAGTGTTGGCGATCAGGTGGGGATACGGAGGCCCCCGAGCACGATGGACATGTCTGGCTTGGCGGGCCCTGGGACAGTTGCGTCTGTCGACCCGGCTCGAGGCAAGGTGGCGGTCAAAAGCCGCCAGGACGACGTGGTCTGCCGACTGCAGGACGTTCAGCCCTTCATCGGTGCCGTCTCCGACGACGTTGGCACTGGCCTGGCGCGAATTGGCCTGGCCTACTTCAAGAGGAGATCATGCCAGGTTCGGGTGCCAGGACCTTCGGCCATTATGGGGGGGCGCGAGGTGCGTGCAGATCACCGCGCAGACGCGGCAACGCCCTGACATTCTCGGAGTTGCGCCACGCATCCCGGATATGTTTTCGGCTGCTAGACGTTTGGGGCCATGCGTCTACCACGCGGCCAGAAATCTGCGGGCGATTGGCCCGGCTACGCCCGCAGCCTAATCTGGCGGGCCCCTCAGAGTCCAGGTGTCGTCCAACATATTCACCTCGACGGCGTCAAGTTCGACGCCCGTCTGCTCGTCGGCGGGCAGCGTGGAAGGAAGCTGGCATCATCCAGGACATTTTGGGTGACGAGACGCTGATCGCAGAAGACGCAGGGCAAGGTCCAGATGGAGCGCTTGATGGCAGTGCCACCGACGCTCCGGCGGACGCTGCCGCGCCGCCGAAGGGGGGTGCCCGTCGGCAGTGTCGGCTATATCAGAGGAGACTGGCAGCGAATTCTCCGGCCACGATCAGCAGGCGACGCTTGCAGCCTGGCGCGTAGTCGAAGGGGCAGAGGATCTGACCCAGGAGCTGGAGGAGCTGGAGAGCGACGACAGCGAGCAGATGATATACGTTGTTGTCGAGCACGCTGCGGCTGGACATGGCCGCCGGCAGCGCGAGTGGCCCCAGCGCCTCGGGCGCGCCGCCAGCGCCGGGGCATCTACGCGCGGAGCCGCTACTACCAGCGCGGCGCCGCCCTAGACGACTATGCCACGCTGGAGGAGGTGGCCGAAGGAGGAAGACGCGCGCCGTTGTGCCTGGGTCCAGGGGTGCGAGAAGCATTCCCTAGCTTCAACGAGTCAGCGTCCGCCACTCTCGCTGCTGCCCATTCCCGGCAGCCGTGCCAATGCGCATGCCACCGTCGAGACTGTGGTCAGCAAGTGCGACGCCGACCTCCTGAACAACGAGGAAGTGGCGAGGCTGCCAAAGGAGGTGGCAACAGCCATCCTCGAGAAGCTAGCTCACCATCCGGGTCAAGTGCAAATTGATCGAGAGCCGACCGCCCATCGGCGCCAGATGCGCCACGGACTCCACGCGAGTCTTCAAGCGGAAGTATCGGAAGAGGTCCGAAGGCAAAATCGCGAGGATCACCCAGCGCCGCGTGGCGCTCAGAGGCTTCCGCGACATGGGCGCCGGAGCCTTCGGGGCGTGCGCGGGGGCTGCGAAGCGCGCGTCGCGGCCCGCGCTGCCTTCGAAGGCGGCGCGTCGCCCAGACGGGTCTGCGTCGCCGTGGGCGTCGATGAGGCATGCCTGCAGGGCGTGGCCTATGCCGAGATGCAGGAACAAGGTGAAGCGCCGCGGGGAGTGATATTCACGCTGCCGCCTGGCCGCGCAGCCATCCCTAAGCAGGTGCCAAGCTGCGAGTCCTTCGACGAGCGGACCGAGCCCCTGCTCAAGGATGCATCCCGAGCCTCCTCCATGAAGCTCGCGCGGGTCATCGCCAGAGTTCAGCGCCAGGCCTGCAGAGGTCAAGCGAGAGACGTCTGGTGACTGCGTCGCTGGCGTCTCGAGGCTAGCGCTCGCGTTGTCCGAGCGCGTTGACGGACGCGAGGGGCGCGTCGACTGGCTCGCCGGACATGTCGCCTGCATTCTTGGCAAGATGAAGCGTGATTGTGACGACTTCGCCAACGGCTGGGCGCGTCAACGCTGCGGCGCCGACGCGGCGGCGACGCGCGACCAGGGCGAGTGCGTCGACGCCCTGGCGCCGAGTAGGCGCGTCCACGTGGTCAAGGCGACGGCCGACGAGCTGGCCAGAGGTTCGCCTCCAGACCTCTTCGTCGCCTGGCTGGGGGCAGCTGCGCGCGCCCTGCCGCTCAGAAGATCAAGGCGCGCAGTGCCTTCCCTGCCGTGGAATGCGCTGGGTAGCTCGGCGCGCGCAGCGACGGCTCCTTCGAGCGGGAGGAGGAGAAGTGGCGCGGCGAGCGAGGTGCAGTCTACGCGCGCTTTGGCAAGTGCCGCAACGCTGGCAAGGAGGTCTGCCACTTGCTCGACGCTGTGCACCGCTCGCACAAATTGATGTGCAGGTTTTTGTTTGGTTTGAGCTGCTCGCGGCTTGCGGCGCATATGATTGGTTGTAAGGCTACCTCCTGACGCTCCACGAGACGATCCGCGGGCCCGCCTCATCCGAAGATATCAGGGAGCTGAGAGGGGAGCGCGGCTATGCTGTGTCAGCGACCCTTGTCGTGGATGGGGTGTCCGTCTTCGCGGCGTTGGCCGTGGATCCTGTTCGACCGCCGCCTCCAGAGAAGATCGTGCCCCTCCCCACCCATGGTGGTTATCCGACCAACTCCGAACCGAGCAGATAGTCGACGTGTTTTGGTGTCTTACCCGGGACATGAGGGCCAGCCCCATGACGAAGGAAAGCGTCTTCCGCGACATCGGTCTCGACGTTTTGAACGGAGAGCTCGGCTACGTTCGCGACCGTCAAGCTGAGCGACGAGCGGCGCAAGAAGTCCGTGACCACTTCCCGTCATAGCACTCTCACCGATGACGTGGACGATCAGACTGGCTAAATCAACGTGTCGTCCACCATCCAGCAATTTTGGCTTCAGGCGACGGTGGCCTGGGCTTGCAAGTACTATGTCATCGTACTATGTCGTCGTAGCCCACGGCCTCAGGAATTGTAGAGAGAAGGCGTACAAGTGAGTGGGTTGCTTCCGCGGACTATGTTAGTGGAGCAGCATGCCAAAGGAAGGGTGAGCACGCGCGTGAGTGAAGCTTGCTTGATCTAGTTGTCGACAGCCAACAACGATCAATCATGCCTGGTTTGATGGCGTACGGTTTGCATATGTTGACCGACGAGGCACAACATGCTCGTTTGAGCACCAGATTCGAATGGTATTTTCGTGCCTTTGCACAACCTGCCCATCTTCCTTGCCTGTCTAGTGGAGGGCAGATGCTTTTGCAGATGTGGGGAAGGCTATCATGTATGGCTGTTGAGCTCAAGGGCTCCCTTACCGCACCCGCTTTATACGCGCCTTATCCCTGTTGAAAACCGCCTTATTCACCCGTTAACGTAAGAGCAATTGCACATCACATTTCTTAGTTTCCGTCTCGTTTTCCCAATCCTCCCCATCCTGCGTATTATTGCCCCGCTCCGCCGGGCTGCGCGCGCTGTTGTCTCACCCGTTCCGGCGCCTCAGGACGGACATCGTCATGGGCCTGCACCTGGGCAGCAGCGGAGCGTCCTCTGCGGCGTCCACGGCCATGCTCCCGCCCGCTTTTGCCCGCCCGCTTCCCTCGGGGCTGGCGACGGGGGCCTTCGCGTCCTCGTCGCTGGTCGTCGTCGTCCCCGACTGGGGGGGAAGGAGGAGGTTGAGGAGGACGAGGTGGCGGGTGTTGTTGTTGTTGTTGTTGTTGTTGGTGGTGGTGGTGGTGGTGGTGGTGAGGTTGATGATGATGGTGGTTGTGAGAGTGGTAGCGATGATGATGATGATGATGATGATGATGATGATGATGATGATGATGATGATGATGATGATGATGATGATGATGATGATGATGGTGATGGTGATGGTGATGGTGATGGTGATGGTGATGGTGATGGTGGTGTTGATGATGATGATGGTGATTATGTTGGTGATTGTGATGATGCTGATGGTGATGGTGATGGTGGTGGTGATGCTGGCGGTGATGGTGGTGGGGGTGGGAGGGATGATGATGATGATGATGATGATGATGATGATGATGATGATGATGATGATGATGAAGGTGATATTATGACGATGATTGTAGTGGTGGTGATGTGGATGATGGTTTTCTGACGGTTTCGGGACCCTGCAAGGGACCCCCGAGGCCGAAATTCGTCAAACAGGCCGGGTCCGTTTGTTCTGAGCTTATCAGGTATGGGCTCATCTCGCGAGATCCAATTTCTTTGCGCATATAACCAGCACATGCGAGGCATTGACACCAACGACAACACTTGTCACCAATGCTCCATCACGGTACAGCGGCGCCCTGGTTCTCTTGATTGTACCTCATGGGCTCTGGGTCATTGCCAGCGCTGCCAGAGCTTACGCTTGCGTCAGCGACCAGGACTCCATGGGTGAGTGTGTTTTTGGTTTATGGAGGTTGCTTCGTTTTCACATGCTGGCTGGTGTGATGATCGCTTGGTCATTGGCCAATCAGCGCCGCTTCATTTTTGACGTGCCCCCTCACGAGTTGACGTGGCGCTATGAAATCGCATGCGCCTCGATTGCGGGATCATCGGCGTTTTTCTCATGGCTCTTCTCGTGCCACTCTGGCTACCTGGCCAAAATTACCCACATTGTGTACGGCAATGGGCATGTCTTCGCCAAATGTGTGTCTTGATTTCTCGTGGGGCAGAGGCTGAGGGCACTCTGGGGATTTGGGTCCGCGAAGACTCTCCCATTCTACGCGTTCGGCCTTGGAGTGGCGATCCTTCCCTGCCCAGTCCTCGCATCGAAGACGCCCACGGCGAATCACCGCCGCCCCGTGCCCCCACGGCATTCACGGAAGGAAAAGAAGGAGGAGGAGGAAGAGGAAGAGGAGGAGGAAGAGGAGGAGGAGGAGGAGGAGGAGGACGAGGAAAAACCAGTGGGAAGACCTGCAAGACGAAATGGGAGAAGTGATGGCGGGCCTGCCTGTGGCCCCTCAGCCAGGCGCCGAAAAAGAAGCCGCACCGGGAGTACCCGCTGCGACGCAGGCCCTGGAGGCCATGAGTCTGTCGGCGAGATCGCCTCTGGTAGAGCGGACCAAGACGCAGGGCATGCCGGAGGAGGACCAGGTGGTCAACCAGGAGGGAGGCCCAAGGGCCTGTGCTCCTGCGTCGCCCCCCCCACCGGTCACTCCGCAGCGGACTCGTGCGCGCTGGGCGCCCGAACCTCAGTGCCGCGAGGCCCCCTGTCCCTCGCGCTCGTTCTCCGAGGGCGGGGGGCGCTTGGCCCGACCGACGCAGGGCGTCGGGGGGCTCCGTCGGGCGCGTCGTCGTCCTCTGCCCGTGCGGCGTGCTCTAACGCGTCGAGCTTTGGCACCAACGGCTCACGCGCCAACAGAGGCCCTTGGCGCACGGCATTCCCTGCATCGTGTTGCCCGGGAAACCGAGGACAGGGTAGGAAGGCAGTCTGCCGCGAATGCTAGGTCAGCTGTCAGCTGTGCAACTTGATATTGCTCTGCCCGGATAGTCCCCCCACCTTTCTCGCATAATTAGCTGCGTGGTGTTGCGCAGCCTCGAAAAGGGAGCAGGCCGAAGAGAGAAGGCGGGAGGCAATGGCCGAAGCGAGGGGCCGGGAGCTGGCGCAGATGAGGGACCACATCAGGAGAACCGAATTTCAGCTGCGCGCAGCTGCTCGTGTCCAGGCCGAGAACGTTCGCATCGCGATGATTCGGGCCACGGAGCAGGCCGAGGAAAAGCAGCGGGCCGTCGCCTCCGAACAGGCGACGAGGGCATCAGCAAAACCACGCGAGCTGGCCAGCAGGGCCGAGGCCTCGGCAGCCAGCCGCCGAGAGGCGCGCTCAAGACCTCGAACGGAGCGTACGTCGTAGAGGAGGCGAAACGTGTCGTCCGGGGGGCTCGGGAGGCTGGACAGGTGGCGATGGCCAGAGTTGCTGAGGGCTTCGTTAAGGCAGCCGAGGCACGCGGTGCTCTCCTTCAGGCGGAGGCGCAGGCATCGGTTCGACGGGCTCAGGCTGACCCACTGACCGCTGACACTGTTGCGAAGAAGGCGTCGGCCGAGAGTGCGTGGGCGACGGGGCAGGTTCAGGGTGAGGTCAGCGACGCCCGCCGAGAGGCGCAGGCCATAGCCCCAGCGGCAAGCGCGAACTGCGCTCGTGCCGCCGCTGAGGTTCGCGACGCGCTGGCAAGAGCCCATCGTATCGAGCTGCAAGCGAACGGTGAGCCGCGACCTGGTCCATGGAGAATTGGGGGGCGCAGCGCGACGACGGGAAGGCGAGCTTCGCGCGAGGAGAAGCAGTCTCCCCACATGAACCTTGGATCGGCCATGGTCGCCGCAGTCGACGCAGCTCCTCCGCGGGCGGAGGCGCCCAGGCCGGTGGCGCTCGCGCCTCGTCTGGGCGAGCTATGTTGGTTCTTCTGCAACGGTGTCGCGGGCCGCGACTGCGCGCTGTGTGCCGGGTCGTTTTGCGACCTTCGCTGCGATGCGATCGAATAGAAATGCGCCGCTTGCGTCGACGGGTGAAGATAGGAGGCCCAGAGAAAACGTGTGGGGTGGGGGAGTGAGAGGAAGAGGAAGAGGGGCGCGAAGCAAGAAGGGAACTCAGGGGGCGGCTCGCCTCCCAATCCGCAATTGGCGCGGGGTCCTTCGATTGCCCGCCGCTGCCCTGGGCGTCTCGCGATTGCGTCGCGAGCGCTTCGGAACTTGCGGGGGGTCGGAAGGCAGGGGGCGTCTCCAGACACCCAAAGGCGCCCGGGGAATCTGCCGGGGCCGAGCGCCAGACACTCCCCGAGATGCTCTCGGGGGCGATGCGGAACGTGGGGGGCCGCGTCGAGGCGATGGTCGGGGGGCAGGGGCTGCTCGCTGAGAAGCGCGCGGAGGCCGCCGCCGCGGCCGAAAAGCAGCGCTCCTCTGGCCGTCTTTTGCCGCGCCGCCTTTTCCATCCGAGTGAGGATTGGCGGCGCCCTTGTAACGGCGTTGACAGTGCGTTGCCGTGCGCGGCAGTTTCAGCTTGGAGGTAACGCGTGGCGCGCGCGCCCGTGCCCCCCCCCCGGCTGTCCGGTTGGCGTGCGTGCGCGTATCTCTCATTGCAGATGCGCTTGCCGGGCGCCCAGCCGCAGCGCCAAGCGCGCGCTTCCGAGACTCCACTTGGGACCATTTCTATTAGATCAAGTGCAAGAATGCGCCGGCCGAGAGGCTATCTACAGGATCAAGACGCTGCCCGAATCCATGACGCGTCGGGGAAATGCTGAATGTCAATGATGTCTGCCTCTTCAGACCTTCCCCCCCGCGCCCTTGTGGAGGCCTCCTGGGCCGTCTTGGTGGCTTCTCGTGGGCCTCGTGTGCCGTCGTGTGCCATCTTGGGGCCGTTTAGGCTGTCTGGGGTGCGTCTGAGGCCGTCTCGGAGGTGTCTTGGGTCCATCTTAGCCGTCGTGGAGGCCGTCTTGGCCGTCTTGGAGGCCATCTTGCCCGTCTTGGAGACATCTTGGGTGCTGTCTTGCGCCGTCGCGGCTGTCTCAGAGGCGATCGGGCAAATTTCTGCCCTTGGATGGTGCGGCCCTTCGGGTGGCTGGCGCAATGTGCCGGCGCCTCAGGGGGGGCCAGTTCTTTTGGATAAGGGCCAAAAGCAAATGCCGCGAGGAATTCGGCGCGCCAGGCGCCCCCGCGGCAAGGCCGCGGGGGGCGGCGGATGACGGCGGGGGCGCGTGGCGTGCGATCCGTTAGTCGGGCGAAAATCCAGCGAGGCTTGGGTCGAGGGGGTCGGCGGGCGGACGCCCGGATGAGATGGGTGCAGTTCCCCCCGAGGGGCTTCCAGCGGCCTCGAGCGCCCTAGACGGTTCAAGATGGCTTCCCCAAGACGGCTCCAGAGGGGTCAAGAGGCCTCCAGTTTTGCTCAATATGCCTCCAAGACGGCCAAAGAGACTTCGACTACGATCCAAGAGGCCTCCAATGCGCCCCAAGAGGCTTCCCAGGAGGGCCCGGAGATGCAGCGCTCATAGTTTGTTCGATGGTTTTGCAGGTTTTAGGGGTTCTCGCCTCGTCGGCCCCCCGACGCTCCAAGACGGCCGAATAGGCCGCCCAGGTCGCCCCGAGACGGCCCGAGAGGCCCCCCGGACGGCCCCGGAAGGGCCCGAGGCGGCCCCGGGACGGCCTGAGAGGCATCCAAGATGGCCCAGGTGGCCTCCGAGACGAGGAGAGAAGAAACCGCTGGAACGCGAAAGAGGCCGAAGGCGGACCCGACCGCCGAATTAGCCGGAAGTCAGGAGCTACCCCCAGCCGCGCCAGCAGCGGATTTGGCCGGCGATCCTGGGGCGCCCGCGGCGCCCCCAGCTACCGGCTCCATTGGGGGTGTCCGTCGACCCCCGGGCAGCTGGCCCCGCCGGCGGTCCCGCGACGCCTGTTGCGCCCCAATGTTGGCTCGCCTAGCTGTCTGATGGCGATCGACGCGGCCGAGCGGCTCCCACTTCTGTTTCCGCGTCGTTCAGCACCCGCGGCAACGCCGCGCATGGTGGAGAGGGCATCTATGGCGCCCCCAGTAGGCGCCATCAACTCGACCACCTGCGCCGCCAC